GCCGCCGCTGCCCTTTGGTCCCGGCGGGCGGTGGCGCGCGGCCCGCCGGTAACGTTTAACCGGAGCGGGGGGAGAAGAAGTCCCTGCAGGCCCGGAGGTGTCGTGTGTGTGTGTCCCGCCGGCCCGCGGGGGCCCCTCGCCTCGCAGCTGCCTCCGAGCAGAGCCGCCGCCGCCGCCGCCTCACAGCCCCGGGGCCTGAGTTGAGGGCGGGGGGAAACGGCGGCCCACCGGCCCCGGGCTCTCTGGCAGCGTTAATAAAAGACGGGGGGGTCGCCCGGTCCTCTCCGCAGACCTCTCCTTCGGCCAGAGAATGTCCCTGCACCCCCCTCCCGACGTAGGAGAGCCGGCAGCGGAGGAAGGTTCTGGAAGGTGCCGAGGGGCTGCCGGTGGCATGAAAGGATCCTTTGAGAGCAGGGTATTGCCATAGCAGATGAAAGCACGCAGCCAGGCGGGCACTGCTCGGCCATGCCGCAGCACCGGGGGGGAGGACACACACAATGGTGTTGCTAAGTACCAGGAAAGATAGGCAGGCATGGGCACGCGGTTGAGTGGCCGCGGGGTAATAAAGCAAGGGAAAAGCGCGGTGAGACGAAGGGAACCGCTGGCTCCACAGGGCTTGCGAAGGCTCCCAGCCTCCTCCACCTTTCCTGAGCGATTCTGGGCTCTTTCCTGCAATTCGCGTGGGGCTTAGCCTCGCCGTGAGCAGTTTGCTCGCTAACACCTCTGACCCTGGCCGGCGTTTCGCGTACTGCTGCAGATATTTCTGAGCCGTGAAGATTAACGGCTGAAGCTCAGGCAGGTCATGCGTTTGACCTGAGGGGTTTGCAAGCTCCGCTGCTCGGACACAAATTGCCCCGGTATTGTCCAAAGCTGACTGCCTGGTAACAGTCTTCAGTGTCTCCTTTAGTAACCATGCAGAGTGTTCTCGGTCTTGGAGGATGCCAGGGCCAAGAGGTTCTCCTCCTCTTTCTATGTGCGTCACTGCCTAAATCGAAGTGAGAGCACAGCTGTACGGTGGTGGCAGTGGGACACATCAAGAGGTGACTGGTCTTTTTTACAAGGTTGTGACAACCCCAAGAGGAAAGTGGCAAGAGGAGATCTGTAGCCAGCAAGGTGTAAATACAGCTGGAAAAACAAACCTCCTGAAGGATTATTTTAATCAGAGAGAACCAGACATTTTTAGAAACATTGCAGTTGGATGTTTGAAGCGAGACGGGTTGGCCCTGGCTCAGCAGGGCTTTCAGGGAGGGTTGCAAGCCCTTTGGAGCAGTGCAGTGTTTAGGGAGGCAAAGTTCATGGGCTTGCCACTCCTTCTGGTGAGGAATAACTCTGTGTGTAGTCTCCAGGGCTCCTGAACCTTGTTATTCTACACGTACCTGACAAACAAAGTGAGTGACAGCACCGGGGAGGGGACAACTGAGACAAAGCAGCTTGTTTCACTGGGTAATAAACCCCTGAACAGCTGAACTTTGGATGAGCTGCTCTGGTGAGTGGAAGGTTTGCAGGAAAACATAATTTCTTGTTTACACGGGCATGCTCATAGCTACCTCCCTGGCAGAGACATCCAAGGAGACTCCTGAAGGGCAGGTCGTGGTAGCTGGAGAAATGTGTGTGGCAGCGGGAGGGTGGGTGTCCCTCTAGCCTGTCTGCCTTGTCACCAGGCTGAAGCTCTGTGGAGTCGTGCTCCCCAGGGTTATGCTCTGGTAACTGAAGTCCAACTTCAGAACTACTTTTTCATCCACGTTTTGTAGGAAGGAGTGATGTAGTTGATGCCAGCTGGGTCTGGGACATGGTGACATGACCCTTGGTGATGGCGAGCATGCAGATGGAGTAGTAGGGAGCCCTGAGAGCCAGCAGAGGAGGTGGGCTCACAGCTGAAGGATCCCTCCTCTGTCCTGCTGCTCTTCTCCAGATTGTGCTGGAGAATGCCTCTAGGTTCACCTTTTCCTGGATGGATTTTGCCCAACAGGAAAGATGGCCGAGCTGGAAGACCGTGGCAGGAGCTGAGGCCTCCTTACCACCCCTGGGACTCTGCAGGGCCCCTGGGGGCAGGAGCCCCAGCCCAGTTTCACCCTGGTCCTCCCCAGCTTGGCTGCTCTCACTCCACACAATGATGGCACCCAGGGTTTCAGGCTCCCTCGTACCTCGTGGGAGAGTTTTCATCCTTTTGGGGGCTGTCAGGGAGGGCCTCCTGCCCTCGTGCCCTGCTGGCAGCAGCTCCGGCCCCGAGTCACCCACTCTCCTTCTCCCATGCTGCTGGCAGCAGCTCCTGCGAGGGACGGAGGAGGCAAGTGGTGTAATATCCTGCCTTTGTGTGTGCCAGTGCCCGCATCCCATGGGCTGGGTGGGGGTAAAGGAGCCGCCGTCCGCTGGAGGTGCTGCCCTTCAGCTCCACTGCTCGCTCTGGGCCCTAGGGTTTGGAGCGGAAGGGCTAAGCCCGTTCTTGGCACGCCGCTGCTATTGTAGTTGCCTGTCACATACGTCTCACCGAGCAGGGCCCTGAGGGAGATATTCTCCAGCAAAGGCCCCTGCCCTCCCAGATGACAATAACCCCCTTGGGGGCCTGACCGCTTCCTCTGAGCTCCAGAGAGCTGTGCAGCCCGGGAGGGACCTTCCCACTGGTGGAGGTTTTGCACGAACAAAAACCTCCTGCCGAGGCCGCTTCCCCAGACGCCCCGGTGCTCGGCAGTGCCAGCGTCCCACTGCTTGCCGGGACGCCGGCTCTCCTCTTGGCTTCCCCACTTAACCCGTATGGCGCCGGGCTCCCGGTGAGCAGCACAGGCAGCTGCAGAGGGAAGGTGGCTGCTTCTGTCTCCAAAAAAGCTCAGGGGACAGCTTTGGGGCAGCTGACTCCAGGCATCTCATTGGGCCAGGGAAGGGCAGGATGCTCTTGGTGCTCAGGACGTGGGAGGGAAGGGAGAGGGACCCTCATCTTCTGTCCCTGTGCAAATTCCCCTCCTCGTGCTGCCACGTGGTGCAAACACGACTCTGCTTTGCCCCTGTGCTTGTGGCCAGCTGGCTGCTGGCTGGCAGTCGGTTCCCAGCATGGCATGGGGAGATGGAGCCTCTGAGCCTTGCCATGCCAGGTCTGCTCCTGTGCCAAGTCCCAGATTGGATGCTGGTGTGCAGGGTGAGGCCACGGTGGGTAACGGGTTCACCGTGCTCAGTTTGGGGCTGCTGATGGCACATGAGCTGTTTGCATCAGTTCGCTGCTGCCAGGGTACTGCCCGGGCGCTTGTTCCCAGCACCAAGGAGCATCTCTGAGCTGCCCGTGCAGGCAGGGAGCAGTCAGGACATGCTCCGGGGCAGAGCATACCGGCTGGGCGTTGCTTTGCTGGTCAGCAGGCTCCTTTCCTCCCTCTCTGTGCAATTTCTGTCACAAGAAACTCTTGCATGGAGAGGTTGGTTGAGCAAGAGGCACCGTTGCTCCAGTGCCAGCAGGATCCTGGGGGACACAGCGGGCAGCGCCCAGGCACAGTTATTGCCAAGGCACTGCCGGGCAGAGCCCAGGTCTCCCCCGTGCCAGGTGCAGGGTAGCCGACTCTCGTGGTTTGCTGGCAGGACGTGGCCATTGCTATTTTCCTGGCTTTTCCCTGTTCTTCCCAGCCCTGCTGCACCATGGGACTCAGCAGAGCGAGGTCCGGTCTTGCTCTGTCCTCGCCACCAGCACCTGTTCCCCCCGCAGCCCGGGCCTCACACAGCCCCACCGGCGCAGAGCTGCTGTGCTTGGGGTGGCCGCAACAACTGCAAGGGTAATAACTAGCTGGAAGCATGTTTCCCCGTGGGTTTGTTTGATTATTCCCGCTGGGTGTGTTTTAGTTTGTGTTTATGACCAGCAAATTCCACCCACCACCCGTTCACTATCAGAAATTTCTCCCGTGCCGGCAGGCTTGGCTCTCTGCAGCGTCCTGTCTCCCTGTGCCCCAGCCCTCTTCCCCTGCTGATCCCCTGCCCCTGAGGCCAATTTAAGATATTTCACATGTGCCACCTTCATGTCTCCTGGGGGTCCCCAACTCCACCACTGGGAATTTGGGTTCCCAGTTCCTTTGCAGCGTGGGCCTGTCTGTAGCGTGTGTGCAGGAAGGTGCCTCCTTTAACAGGCCGAGCCGGGGGGCTCTTCCCTGCAGTTTTGCAAGATCTCGGTGTCGGAGGGGACAGGGCTCAGTGTTGGGACACTGGTGGGTGCTCTTTTGTGCCTCTTCCTCCACACCATCCTCCTGGCTGTTGCGTCATGCATGCGAGACAGCCTTCAGTCGTTCCCCGCTCTCATGTCCGAACCTCAGACGCCTCCGTGCGCTTTCCTGCGTGGATTATCAGTGAGAGGAGGAACCCAGGAGAGGTTTCCCCATGTGAGCATCACACAGTCCTGCAGCTGGGGAGGCCGATCGTCTTCCTCTGCTGCTGGCAGCGAGCCTCAGCCACGAGCAGTCACCACCTCTGAGAACTGGCCCAGATAACGAATCCCCATGCCAAACTTCCCGGGAGGTGCACGGCTGCCGCAGCCGACCCACGGGGGCTGTGGGCTCCCTGCACACCCCCATCCCGGCAGGGCCCAGCCGTGCCCGGTGGGATGCACCGCCGGCACCACGTCCTGGGCCCCGCCAGCCGGTGGGGAAAAGAGGCTGGTGGGGATGATCGCGGTGTTGCCGCACGAAGCTCTTTTCTGCAAAACAACTACCAGCAGGTTGACCGTTCCCTGGGCTGAGCAGAACAGCCTGGCCGGGCACCCTCAGCGTAATTCCGCCTCCCCGCTTTGCCTTCGCGCCGTTCGCGAGGTGCATCCCTCTGCAGGGTGTGTCCCTGGGCGTCCCCTCTGTGCGCCCCTGTGCAGCCTCCCACGGGTTTCCCCACCCACGCTGTATCCCCGGGTATTTTCCGTGACCGTGACCGCGGCCCCAGCTCCGGCCCGGGCCCCGCCTGACAGCGCTCTCTGGCGGCAGAGCGCACTCTGCGCCCCGGGGGAGGCCGTGGGGCGCGCGACTCCGCCTCCGCCTCCGCCTCCCGTCCCGTCCCGTCCCGTCCCCCCGCGGCGCCGCTGTTGGTAGGCGCCGCCGCGGTGCCTGACGGGAGCTGTAGTCGCGGGGCGGGCGGACTCGCTCTCCCGGCGTGCCCCGCGCCGCCGCCGCCGCCGTGGGTGCGGGCCGCTCGCCGCCGCGCTGCTCTGCGTCCCCCGGTCCGACCGCCCTGCCCGCCGCCGCCATGGGCTCTCTGCTCAGCCGGCGCATCGCGGGCGTGGAGGACATCGACATCCAGGCCAACTCGGCCTATCGCTACCCGCCCAAGTCCGGTGAGGGTCGCGGGGCCGCTCCCCTCAGCGCCGGGGACGGGGGCAGGGGGATGGGCCTTCGCCGGGCTCCGTGCCTCCCGCCCCCCCCCAAGGCCGCCCCGAGGGGGACAGGCGTAGCGGGGGGCGGTCCCGGGGCGGCCGGGCCGCGGGGTCCCCAGGGGAAGGGGCTGCGGGAGCGCCCGTCACCGGCGGGGGCCGAGCGGGGCCCGGGCTGGCTCTGGCTCTGGCTCTGCTCGGGGCCCTGCCCGCTCGGCTTCGGGGCCTCCCTGGTGGGGAGAGCCGATGGGTACGTTTTTTTGGGCTAAACCTATGGTATGAGGCCGTCTCGGTGCCCCGTTTGGCTGAAGTGTAAGGGTCCAGAAGGGCCCTGTGCCCTGAAACAGCTGGAGGCGTTGGTCCGTCCAGCTGTCAGTGTCCGTGGCCACCCAGCTCAGTCGCTGCCCTTTGGTCATGGTAGGTGAGCAAGGCTTTGCTTCTCTGTTCTGGAAACATGAACGCAGCAAGTCGTCAGTGTGTGGCAAGTGGGGCATCTCCTGCTGGTAAAGAGGAAGCGATGGTGGCGTTCGGTGGGGACTTGGAAGGAAAATTGGATCTGGTGGAATGTGGGATGGAAAAACTCCCACATGACAACCTTCTTTAACTGCTTAAAATGGCAGTGGTTCTCACCTAGGGGCCATTGGACTGACATGGCCTACATACATGTTTGTTTTCCAAAGAGAGATGTTCTGAAAACTTAGAGATTTGTCAGCAGTGCCACTTTTGTGAAGTTGAGATGAGCCCGTGACTCACCTTGTCCTAGACTGGCTTTTGAGATTGGCCTGGTTTAACTTGTTTAAAGAGTTTTATTTATTCTTGTCACAAAGCAAGTCATTGGGGAAATCCAGATGCTCTTTTCTCCTACAGTATCCATTTGCTTACAAATTCTTCTAAGTTTCTGTTCTACTAGGGCTCTTCCAGGCAGGGTAAAGAGTTTGCAGGCAGCAGTTCAGGTTCCCTCACTCTCGGGTACAGGTGCAGCACAGCCTTTTCGTTCAGAGACTCGAGTTCTGTGTGTGTCCGATGACTTGCTGGCTGTGACATCCTCAGGGCTGTGTGATGGAGGGAGCTAGGTCCCCCCCTTTTGTTTGGAGGGGGTGCAAGATCTTCTCAAACAGAGTCCTACCATCATTACCCCTTGACTTGTTGCAGGTTGGCCTTCAGCAAGAATGGTGGTGTGGAGGAGATGGAAGGGGGAAACCTGCCCAGAAAAATTCTTCAGCCGTGTTGGTTCTTTTAGAAAATGGAACTTGCCTTTTTAGGGGGGGGTGGGGACTAGTTTCTTGGGCTACTAGGAAAGGTAAATGTCACTGCTAGGTTACAGCAAGACTCTGCATGTCCCTTGGGTGGTTGGGGGGCTGTCCCAATGTGGGAGACTGGGCGGATGTGAGCTGCCTGCTAAACTGTAGCTATGGTACCATGGCTCCTACTGGCAATTTACAGCCTAGAGGTTGCACCTGATTTCTGTTGACACTTAGATAGGATTTTAGATATGGACTGGATTAATCATAACCACCATATGCAACGAACATTAAACTGCTTCTTTCAAATCATCATCCTGTTGTTTCTGTACTGTTGTAATTACCCGGACTAGAGTTTAACGGTGTGTTGGGTTTTAGCCAATGTGCTTGCCAAGGTAGCCCCATCGCACACATGAGGTTGAGTTTGTGTGTTCATGTGCACCCTGGAAGGGGTCTGTTGGCCTAGATGCTGCCAAAGAGTGTTCCACACGTGGTACCTCCCTTGTAAAACTGAACAGCTAATGCTTTCAAGCAGCTGATTAAAGAAAAATACTGGTATTTCCTTTAAAGGCTTTGGATACAATTAGATGCTTGGTAATTAATTTTCTGTTGCACTTGCTTGTGCTCTTTCTGAAAGCATACTGGCTTTAGGCTAGACCTTTCTCTTTGCCTTCTTCAGGTTTCTCTAACAAGGATCCTCTTGACTTCAGGAAGGGAGAAGAGCTGTTCAAGCTCAAGATCATTTTAGGCAGAAGAAGAGGTCATGAACACTTTTAAGGCGGAGGTTCAAGGAAGGTTACTAAACACCAGAACAGTAAGGGCTGTTAGGATGGCAACCCCCCCTCCCTTCTTCAGGTGGAGCATGTTCAGAAGGACACTGTCCCTTCTGGTCCTGCAATCCTAAGTGTGTTTGTCTTGGGGCTGGAAAGATTGGCTATGATTGGTACGAAGCCTGACAGTGAAGATGACTGGAAGTGAGTGTGTATGGTTTTACTTGATTTCAGGAAGCAAGCTGGAAGTCGTACAAAAAGTTCTTAGGCTAAATGGTTGCTAATTATTTCTAACTTGACACTTGCTGCGAGCCCTGTACTGCTACTGACTGCCTGACTGGAAGAAGCCAGTTTTCCATTGGCTGTGTCAGATATTTGAATGTGCACTGGAATGTTAGCCTGACACGCAGGCAGTCTCCTGGCTGCTTAGAGATTACCCCTGAAAGGCTGGAAGATGTGGTGAGAGAGAGTGTTACCTGAAGTTACCCATCCACTGGAGTCTTGTGCAGCACCAAGGGCTGTCCATCACCTTTTACGTTCTTTCCCTCTGAGTCTCTGGTTTAAGCAGATCGTGACTTACAGTGAGTGTCTGGGCAAGATGCTGCAGCTCTGGTCAGCTGCTGTCCATGGTCGGCATCGGTTTGAAGGATGCGGGTTTGCATTCTAGAGCAAATACACCACCTCACAAGAAGGACATGTTGTGTGAGGAAATAAACACAAAATAGAGGTATTCTCACTGTAATTTAAGCAGTATGTCAGCCTGCCTGTGAAAATGAACACGGTTATTTTATCAGGTTGTACCAAGTGACAGCACCTTGTTGAGTCACAGCTGGTTGCAAATGCAGTGGTGAATATTTAGTTCTCGTTTATTGACTTTTGATGTGGTTATTGCTGGTTCAGTCACATGCTCAGTGGAGGATTGAGCAGGTTGTTGTGGAATCCACCTTGGTCCTTATGAGCCAGAGTCCCTAATGAGGCATCCACAGATCATTTAACAGCTTTGTTGCAACTAGTATGCAGTTTTGTAGTTAAAAGTCCTCTGAAAACACCCTGCTTACTCCTCCAAGGCTCTGGGTATGTATTACCTGTGTTTCCCTTCCTGCATCTGGGGGGCTGAGGTTGCTGAAAAGCTGTAAGGCGACACCTGATTCCCTTCTCTACTCCTTCTTCACTGGTACCTTTTAACCTTTCTTGCTTTGTGGAGAGTGTGCTGGCATTGCAGATGCCTGACCAGTTGGAAGGGGGTTGGAGAAGTGCCCAGTTTGTACAGAAGAATTAGTGCCCCTGTGAAGTGGACTAAAAATGGGTAATCACAAGGAACAGTCATGATCTTTGCTGTGCTTCTGTGCTTGAAGCAGTAAAACAATCCGTGTTCTTGCATGCGGTCTCATGATGCCCCTATTGCTTTAGCAACCAGTGAGCAATGCACCAGTGTTTTCCGCAGCTCCTTCGTCAGCTTGTCTCTTGTTCCAGTGAGCTCATCTGCAGTGTGGAGCAGGGCAGGGAGCATGTGCCCTTGAGATAGCTTTTCTCCTCTGGAGTAGGCTCTTGAAAGAGAATTCCCTGGACATTTTTGGGAGGGAAAAAAGGAGGCAGATTATTCCTCTCTGAAGCTGAACTGCTTTGTTGTTTGGGAATGATGCTTTAATCAAAGAAAGAGCAATTTTAAATAGGGGAAGAGTACCCAGAGTTGTACCCAGTCCATCACCTTGTTCTCAGCTCATAAGCAATGTGTACTGTGACAGTGTCAAGACAGAAATACGTTCCTGTATTTCATGAATAGCTTTTGTTCCTCACCCACTCTGCAAAGCACAGCAGGGCAGTTGTCTCTGTTACTCCTGCTGTAGTTCTGTAGGGGTTTCAGCCCAACCCTGCTGGTGATGGCCACCACTGCCTGCCGTTGACTGGAGCATTCCCTTCCTGCCTTCTCCCCAGCTACTCAAGAGCACCAGACTGGAGCACTCATGGGCCACAAGCAGTTGCTTTTGCTACTTGTTTGTTGCTGGATTACATTTAACCCAGCTCGGAACCATGTTTCCATTTGCTATGTGATTGCTTTTGGCAGCCCAACAGGGATGGGCAATGAGGAAGGTGAGACGGCCTCATCCAGCCACAGTGCTGGTTCAGGCTCAGGCTGTGTCTAGGACTGTGCTGTCAATCCATCCCTCGGCATGCTGTGGTGGTGAGTGTCTGGCTGAGTAATTAAAGCAGACTCAATTTCTATCACTTCGCCATTAATTCTAATAACAGTAAGAAGCCTAAATAGTCATCTAATTGCTTTCTGTTTTATTAACATTGTACAATACAGCCCTTGTTTTGATGGGGCTACAGTTGTGCTGTTGACACTCTGCTCCTGGCTGTTGTAGGTTGTTGTGTCCCCTGCCAGCGTGTCACTCGTGCATCACATCCATGTGTTGGGTTTGCATGGTCACAGGATTAGGACGCTGGGTTAGGGAGAAATAATTATGACTGGAGCAGTCTGGTGCTTAATGCTGGTGCATTTCTGATAACAAAATTCCACCACCATGTTGGACTAAATGTCAAGTAGTTTGGTGTCATTGGATGCCTTGGAGAAGCCTGGGGTTCCAGTTTGGTTTTGTGTGGGACAAACTAACGAGTCAGACTTGGCCATTCTGGGTGTCCCAGTGGTGTTTTTCCAGCCACTGTAAAGTTTTCCACCACAACAATTTCTCTTAAACCACTGCTTGTTCTTCATCTACCTTAGCAATGTCACCCATTTGTGTTCTCTTTTATGTAATGCTCTCCTATGTTTTCTGCTGATTTACTCTGGGGAAGTAAAGCCACAGTTTTTCTTTGCTCTGGCATTTTTCTCATATTCTGTCCTTGTTTATTTGTGTATGACTCTTTCCTTGTAAGTGTGTCGCTGCATTTTTCTGGAGGATTTCTTTTTGTAGCAATTCTGTGGAGGGTTAATCCAAAGATTTTTTTGCTTTTCTTTTTTTTCCTGCCAAAGAGGATGGTGCTTAGCATCCCTCTTGTGTCCATAGCTACAGAACTCTGTGTAAAGCTGGCCTTGCAACACCTGCATAATGTAGGTCAAGGTTGTTTTATAGGCTGGGGGGACATGTAGGAACAGGGTTGAAGAGGCATGATATTCTGGCTAAAATCCTAAAGCTGTCTTTGTAATGGAGTTTGAAATAGAACCTAGAGGTGGAGCTGCAGTAGGATTTTAATGCATAGAAAATACATACAAGCATTTTAGAGACACTAAGAATCCTATCAGTCTTGTGCTAGATGTGTGGACGTCATGGTGACTGGAAAAGAGGATACCCCATTTCTTCCTTCTTGAAGTTTCTTTGTCCTTTTACTCCTTTGTATGATATTTACAGAAGTGCTTTCTGAAAGTGTTTTGTCTCCAACTTGGGCAAACTCTGAGTTGCTTGTGACAGTGGTTGAGAGGAATAATGCTTAACTTTGGTCTTACCTTGAGAGCTCTGAACTTAATGTGTTGTTGTAGCAACTGGTTTCTGAAAGCTTGCAGTAGAATATCTTTTTTTAGCTGCTAAAAACTGTGTTATAAATTTGTGAAGACAGTTTGCTGCCATCCTTGTTTGTTAGTTTTGCTGTTGAGATCTTGTGTACGTGGCGGCTTTTGTACCCATAGCAGCACTGGCAGAGCGTGGGGGTGTTCTGCTCACCAGCGTATTTCCTTCTGAGCTCCTCAGAGTGATTTTTCCTTGTGCTCTTTGTGACTAGCACTGACTAGGTTTCTTATTTGCTTGTGAAGGAAGTGCCTTTGCGAGAAAAAACCCTCCTTCACCTTGCAGGAGGTGACTTAGCAGGAAGATGAATGGAGCCTTCAGTCTGAACGTGGAATTGAAACTGTGGTTTCCAGTTAGATAAGTGCTGCTGTGTTGCAGGGGGTACTGTGTGTTTGTGAGAAATCCTAACGATTTGTTAGAGATCCCAAAGGTTGTTCTTAGTGGAGCAAAGACAGTGTGGCAGGTGCCTTGAACACACTAGTTATGCGTCTCAGTGTCGTTCTGGTTGTGTGAGAGAGACCTTTTTATCCCAAGGTGCTGTAGAGGCTGCCTGGTGATGCTCTCCTGGACAGCTGGCTCCCTGCAGGTGCAGGGTTTCAGTGGTGGTGAGCAGTCCTCGCCTGCTGGGGCTCTGCGTCCTCTGCGCATGGGACGCAGAACTTCTTCCACAGAAAAGCTCTGCTCTGAATTTTTGGAATACAGGTTTACTGAGGTGAGTTGAGCCCCAGGATGTCTTGTTCATGGGATATGAGGAAGCTGCCAGACTCTGATCCCAGATAATCAGCTGCTGTGGTACTGAGATGTCCTGCACAAGCGTTGTCTTCACAGTTAATCAGATAAAATGCTCCAAAACAGAATTCTGCTTGACCCACGTAAAATGCAAAATCTATTCCTAATCCCCAGTGTTCGTCATGCTTTTCTGAACCTTAGTATAAGCATAAACCACCACAGTGTATCTCAGGTGGAGAGGCTGTATCAAGCTAGCTGTGCTTGGAAATTGTATGCAGATTAGCTTTTTAATTTGTTGCTTCTGGGAGGGGTGGGAAGAGGTTGCCTGTCATTTGGAGCACCTACATTTTGTTGTGCTGATTCTGTAGGACAGATTCTAGGTAGATTCTGAACCTGTGCGGAAGTTGATTGTTGTATCTGGAAAGAAGGGAGTGTTTCTATAATATAAACATCTGGATGCTTGTAAGCTGAGCTCAGCAATAGCTGAGCACTACCATAATCATTAAAGCACTACCATCTGTGCAGAGTAAGGAGAGCCTTTCTTGAAGCAAAAAGGAAAAAAAGCCTTAATGGAAAAAACAGAGCCATTCATGAAAACACTTCTATTTCAGAGTAAATCATGCTTGCTCCTAGCTGGAGGGACTGCAAATCCTTCCATAATGCCTCTATAACCATTCAGATGATTAGTTACTGCTTCTGTAATGACTCGTTTTAAAACAAATTTTGTACTGTCTATGCATTGCACCTAGGGAAGCAAATGTATGTTTGGCTCAGTCCTTTCATCATGTGCATGAAAAACCCCCACTCTGAAACTTCAAGGGAAATAGCTTGGGTGGAGCCTTTTATTTTAGTTCTCTCCTGATACTTATTTCTCTGAAATTGTAACTCCTGTGAAGTTCATGTTTGAGAGTGTTTTCCTGAAGTCTTTCTAGGAGGAAGCTACATTTGTGGTGCTCTTGTACATCTGAATCAATTCAGTTGACTTTGCAGTTAATCCAGTGCTTTAGAATCCCAGTGACCTTGCACACACTTTGTCTCCTGAAATATGCACTGCAGTGCATCACCTTAAAGATGAATGAAACAAATCTGTGGTGAAGCTTTCAGAGCTGAAGTTCAGTTTAGTCAGTCCCAGGGTTTATCTCTTCCAGACATCCATGTTTCTGCATTTAACATCTGTCAATGTTATTAATTAAATTCAGCATCAAGGTGTATAGTCTCTAGAGCTCACAGTAAAGGTTTTGTGTGGTTCTCACCCTGGGATATGGGAGTGAAAGAGGGGAGGGAAGGCAAACTTTGCCACTCTGGCTGTGCAGGGCTTTGCAGTGGGGGGAAGCCTCATCCTTCTCTGAGCGGGTTGGTGGTGTTTGTGAGACTGGACTTCACACTGAAGGGTGGAGAAAAGAGGAATAATTCATCACAATTGAGCAATATTAGAAAGAGCTGACTCTTACTGCTCCCAGTCCCTCCTCTGGAAAACAAGTTACAATGGAATTATCTCCACTGTAATGATTTATTCTAGGTTGGTTTTTTTTTTTCTTTTTTTCCCTGCTTCTACTGTTGGCAGTGGCCGTCAGTAGTACAGGGAAGGAGTGAACTAGCAAGTATTTTCTCTGTCGTGCTCTTTTATACTTGTGAATTAAAAACTGCACAGACCAGCTGTTCTCTGGGAAGTGGTCATTTAGAGTTTTTTCTTTATTCCCTTGTGGTTTGTTTTTTTCTAGGAAACTACTTTGCAAGTCACTTCTTTATGGGAGGCGAGAAGTTTGACACCCCTCACCCTGAGGGCTACCTTTTTGGCGAGAACATGGATCTAAACTTCCTCGGGAATAGACCTGTTCAGGCAAGTTGCTATATGCTGTCTATTTTGCCCTTTTGTTTTCTGCCTGTTTTGGAAAATCTTGTGTAGGGCTTGTAGAGGATAGCATAGACCTAAGAGACCTTTGCTACTTGGGGAGTGTCATTCCAGGCTGAGGTGCAAGAGCGCTCCCCCACCCCATGTTCCAGCTTGCCAGCTAACATAGCTGTTCAAGATGCAAGCAGAGTTTTTCTAAGATGCCTTATTCACCTTCTAGACTTATTTTCACTTAGGGCAGAAGGAAGAAGGACAGGGATTCTGGAGCACAGATTTTGGGACTAATTCTGATTGCCTGGCTAAGCAAGTGTAAAACATGCTGCAGAGAGGAGAAGGCTGGGAAGCAGATCCACTCTCAGAGCCTGAACCTCACAGGGCTTCTGGGCACGTTGGGTGGATTCCAGCCAGTGTTCAATGCATGCTGTTCTCTGTGTAAACGAGTGGCCTGACTGAGCATAGGGCAGTGTTAAGTCAGATCTTGATATTTGGTGATTTTTTGTTTGCTTTGATGGGCTGCTCAGAAAGTCTCTCCTTTAGTTTTCCCAGTTGGAACATGGAGGTCTTTCTGGGCTCACAGGTATCTTACGAGACTGTGAAAAGCTACCTGCTCAAGTGGTTGGCTTGTTCTTTTGTTGTGAACAGGGAATAGCACAGTTGTGAGGGACAGATAGGAATTTTATGCAAGTGTTATCTTGCATCTCAGAACTTAAAAAGAACCAAAAGGTTAACAGAGTAGGAGCCTTTTGGAGATGTTTTCAGAGTGCTGGAGAGGAAAGGGAAAACTGCTGCTTGCTTTGCCAGCTATTTTCCTAGTTGTTTCTGCAGCTTCAAAACATGAAAATGAAAAATTGATGTCACGGTTCTCATCCTCAGAAAAGCTGTGACTATTAGTTAATTCATGCTGGTAGTGCTTGGAGGCAGTTCACTATCATTCCTGTTTTACAGATGGGGGAAACTGAGGCAAGGTGACTCGATGTTTGAATTGGACTAGTGACAAGCACGTTTTGCTTTCTGAGTTGTCCTCGGGCTGTGCCATTGGCCTTCTCAGCACCACAGTTAGTTAACAAGACTCTGCAGGGTAGAGCAAGGTTGAATCTGGAAAGCCCTTGTTTGAGCAGAAAGTGCAGATGAGCAACAGAATTATGAAGGAGGGACTTTAGATGGAAATGATTCTGGATGTAACAGTGCTATGCAGGCATGGGGATGCTCACCACATACCCTACGTGATGTCTGCATACAGGGCCCATGCAGGACAGTGGTTAAAAACTGACCGCTTCTCCTTTGCTCTGTGACTAGCAGCTGCACAGCACTCCAACAAAAGCCGAAGATGCAGCTGTTAGTTAAATATCCCATGTGCCTGTGGCTGTAGGAACTAACCTTGCAGAGTTAAATTGCTTGCGTGTCTCAGCCTGGGTTTCCTTGCAGACATCCCGGCACTGAATTTCATCATTTCTTCAGAGGGGAGTGGGTGAGAATGCTATTAACACAGTGGGATGTTTGCCAAATAGGTTTAAGAGAGGGAGGCTGTTGTGGTATATAGTTTGCCTATGTAAAGTTAATGCCCTTTGGCAGCTCTGATTAATTTTCAAGGAAGAAAACCACTTGAACACAGAGCAGCAAAACTGCTTTCAGTACATGGGCCAAGTTCTCACTCTGGAGTAACTGACGTCTTGACTGCTCTGTGTAGAGCAGTGCTACCAACCACAGTACCGAGCAGTCAGGGTGCAAGGAAAGTAGTTGCTGCTGCCCTGTGAATTCTCTGCTGCCTGTGGCTGTGGCATGGGGTCTTCTGTGGCATTCTCCTGTTGGTCAGGAAACAGCATGTTTTCCCTCGGGCTTTGGCTATTGCCCCACCAATACATTTCTGTGGCCTGAGGGGACAACACTGAAGGGTTGTGTCCAGGAGCTGCCCTGAAGTTCAGCTGCATTGGCTTCCTGTTTAGCAGACTCCTCATTTCTAAGGAAACATGTATATTGGTGGTCTCTGGTACTTCTGCTCCACGTCAGTCACTCTCTACACCACTGCAGGGCACCTGGTAGACGTGTTTTTGAAGGACCCCAACTCTAATGAGGCTGTGTGGTGGCACTGTTGCTGGATACATTCAGGGTAACCTTCTGCCTGAAAACCTGTCCTGTAGTTCTGTACCGTTGTGTCGTGCCATTGCTCTGACTTGGAGCATGGCTGTGGTTCTGGTCTGAGCACCTATCAAATTTGGCAGTTGTGTGAGTGGATGTTTCAGTTTCAGACTTAGCCCAGCAGATGGGAGATCCAGCAGGCAGGACTGCAGCTGTACAGGTTGCAGTCACCACAGTAAGCAGTTTCCTTTGCATTTCTTGCTGGAGATTCTGTGACCAGTAAGAATTATAGTCTGAAGCATTATCGTCCTTTATTTAAAAGACAATCTGTGAGAGAAGGTCTCTTGACTGACTGTAGAATAGAATGAGGCCCCCTATCCCCGTCTCTTTCTTTTCCAGAACATTTGCCCCATTGTTTCAGAATAAAAAGAGCTTCCCCCAGTAATCCAGGGCTTCAGCATGCTGATTAGCAGTCAAGTCACTGTTTGCATGCTGTAACACACATGAAAGAGCTGCATTTCTTCTGCTCAAGCTGGAGGTGGTTTCTTTAGTGGAAATAAAAGCTTGTGAGAGCAAGGCTTTCCAGACTGAGAATTCAGGGTGCAGAAAAAGAGCTTGTGAAAATGCCCTTTCTTAAAGTGCATGCTCCCAGTATGAGCTATTGCTGAGCCAGAGCAGGATTTTCACCCTGAAACATGCTTGATTTATCTGTAAATAGAATTCTCTATTACTGTTCCTTGTGGCTCTTGTACTGAGTACCCTTAAAGGTAGATGTTTCTTGGTTTGGATAAATAGTATGCTAGGTAACATGCTGCTACCTTTTATAGTATAATAATAGGAGAATTATTTGCCTTTTTGTTCCAGTTTCCCTATGTAACTCCAGCTCCACATGAGCCAGTGAAGACACTGAGAAGTTTGGTGAATATCCGCAAAGACTCTCTCCGACTTGTGAGGTACTGTTATTGCCTGAACCTTTCCTTTTATTCAACCCAGCGATCTGTCATCCAGAGCCAAAATGTATTTGATAAGGTTTTGGAGAAATAGCTGAATTCCAGATCCTTGTTGCTAGTTATGTCTAGAGGTTTCTGTGTTCCCTTGTGATCAGAGCTTTTCATGTGGTTTATATGCTCCTTATCCCTAGACTTGAGCAATCTGTGTTTCCAAACAGGACCAGTGATGTATCTGTCTCTACAGGACAGACTAGAGTTGTAAACAAACCCATGAAATCATTAGCTTGAATGGAAGATATTAGTCAGGTCAATAAACCCTACAGACAGATTCCTTTCTGCATTCCAGTGCAAGAAGAAGCCAGAAAGTAGCTGATTCTGGTGCAAGTCATAGGCCAGGAAGACTGATTGGTCTTGAGTGAAACTTCCTCAGGTTTCTCCTGCTGCCAAGATAAAGTTTGGTCCTAGTGTTGTGCATTCGTTTGGATGGCTTGTGTCCCATGCATAGGGGAAGGAGGTCTGGATAATCATGGAGATCTGTTACCTCTCACTGCTCTACGGTGAGATCTAAACCAGCACTTAGCTGGATTAAATGCAATAGCTAACACTTCGACCTGCAGCTGCCCTCTTTCAAGCAGATAGCTGAAGTGCAGGGGCCCAGCATACAGTGCTTTTGTTTTGGTCTGAGTGACCAGGCAGATGTCCAAGCAGAGCATTTCTCAAAGATCCTTGAGTCGCTCTGAATTCTGCGTTTCAGGCTGCAGTACTGGCAGGGGGCCAGGTTCAACTCTCAGCCACAGTGGTTCTGAGAGCATGGCGTAACATAAGTAATTTGAGTCATAACCACACAAAACCCTCAGTTTGTTTTTGTGTGAAAACTGAAGGTTGTTTGTTTTGTTTTGTTTTGTTTTTTTAAATGAGCAATACCTGTGGCTTCAAAACTGATTGAATAGGAAAAGAGGGAAGAACTTCTGAAAAAGTAACCATTGGTGAACTGCTCTGAATGCTGTCTGGCTTTTTCGTAGAATCATAGAATGGTTTGGGTTGCAAGGGACCTTAAAGATCATCTAGTTCCAACACCCTGCCATGGGCAGGGACACCTTCCACTAGACCAGGTTGCTCAAAGCCCCATCCAGCCTGGCCATGAACACTTCCAGGGATGGGGCATAAAGCTACAGCTAAAGGGTAAAGTACTTCTCTAGGAAAGTCTTGCTTTCCTCCCACACTTGCTGTGGAAAGGGTATCTTGTTCTCCTTGCAGGCATCCATGTAAACAGTGTAACATCTCTCAGAAGCCAAGTGGGAAGTGGCTTTTTCACTGGGAGAGGCCTTCCTGTGAATGCAGCAGTTGGTGGGGTTTAGTACATATAGTTGTCATTCTGCTTTCTGTGGTTGCACGTCCTGTACCCCCAAGCAGAGTTGCAGCTGTGGACTATTTGAAATGTAGTGTCCATGCACCTTGACAGTGTCTAGGTTTGCATCTGTTTAATTCCTGGTACTATCGGTTCTTTCTCTGCCTCATGAGCTCTCACAGGCTGTTGTGCTGCTGCTGCTGTGTTAGTGCTGATGACAACATTGCCAACATTACTCTATTTAATTTTGTACTGATGTAGACCCAAAATGAGATTTTAATTGCCAGTCCCCAAGGGCACATTCTGTCCTGTGCTTTTCTACTGTTCTGGACTAGAGGCTTTTCCTTTCTCCCTATGTGCACGTAAAGACACTTTGTGCCCTCTCCAGCTTGGCTAATTCGCAACCAGTGGTTGAGGTTTGCACATTCTTTCCAGAGCTAGTTAAGTTTAATTTACCACCTCCTTCACCAAATACAAAGAGACTGAGCCAAGTGTCTAGGTGTAAAGTAGGTTCTGATGGTAAAGTCCTCACAAGCTTTTTGGTTTTCCTTGTGTTTAATTGAAAGTTCCTTGTTCATCTGTGAAGAGGGTGTTGATTCATAATGTGGAGTGTAGGGCTTTATGGAGGAATATGAGGAAATATCCACTCTGGTCTTCCTGCCTGGCTCTGACCAGTCAAAATTCTGAGCTTTGCCAAATGCCAAATATTTACAGCGCTTTGGAGAGAAGCAATAAACCTGTGGATATTGGTTTTGAAGTTCTGAGTCTTCGACTCCTCGTGTGAGTGCTTGATTTCTAGCAGTATGAGACTCTGAACCTCAGAGGAGGGTAGCATGAGTTTTGCTGTTAACCACTAACAGAAAAAGACTGCCTCATGTCTGTCTTGTGTCCCTCTTTTGGCCCTGGATTGGAAGCTTTATTTCAGAACTGAAGTACCTGATAGGCTGGTACTGGCTGTTTACTCTTACCTTGAGAGCATTTCCAGTTGCAGGAGGAAGATCAACTCCTGAGGCAATGTGTTTCATGGAAAAGTTGCATCCTGGGACAGCCTCTGCTTCAGCATGGGCTTTGGGTAGCATCATGAAACAAAAGTGCTGAAGGAATCAGCAGCTATAGTGGTTTGAGAATGTGTCTGAAACAGCAGCAATATCATGGAGAATAGTGAGACCAGCGAGCATTTTGGATGAGGGCCTGAGAGGGAGGCGGATGATAGGGACTGAGGGGAGAGAGGTGAGTTGCTGTGAGTGAGAGAAGGGAAATCACTTCTCTTCCTTCTCCAGCACGGTGGGGCTGACCTTGATCCTTGGAGCTGTTCATCCTGTGGTGGAGGTGGTGATGGTGAGGGTGCTGGGACTGCCTGCCTGCAGCCCTGGATAGCATTAAACTGTGTACAGGTCTCTGCAGAACCCCCAAACAGGAAAGCCTCCATTTGACGATGATCTGCCCCCATGAAAGTCACTGCTGACATAGATGTCAGCTAGTTCTCACTTCATTTAATGCCTGCTCTAACACTATTGTAATGCGTATCTAAGTCAAGCAATACTTAGCATTTATCCTGCATGTCTACCAAGTTGTTGGTCAAACTTTTTAACCTCCTCAAAGGATGAAATTGGGTTTGCCTCGACCTATTTCTGTAAAATTGTAATGGCTGCTGTTAATTATATTTTTATCTTTCAATTCTTTAACAGACAAACAAAAAGTTCCAGCATTTCCGTTGTTTTATCCAGAAGTGATGTCAGACCAAGTGGCCTCAGCTCCCTTGGTCATCCTGCTTTGCCTTTTTCATCATAACGTTGGATCAGCTATTTGTTCTCAAAGGTGGTCAGTCTCTTCTGCTCTATACACTGATTGTGGAGGCTATGTGATTAACTTGTGTGCATGACCAAAAAGGCACACCTAGCAAAGTCACTGGTTTCTAAATTTGTGCATGCATCTGTGGCCACCTCACATCAACACTGTCTGTAGGGCTTGACTAAATGTATGCTGTAAACTTCAAGTGCAGGTGGAGACAGAAGAGCTCTTGAACCACCTGAACCACTCCTGAACTGCCTCTTTTGTCTGCCACTTCTGTTGCAAAGAAAGAAGGAATGCAAAAGGTGTGACTTTGTCTTGTTACTCCCCTGAAGCTACATCCCACCATTCCTGCACCTTAAGGTGGAACATGAGATGCCTCTGCCTCTCAAAGTATGCACCAAAGTAATCCGTGCTTGTTCCTTGGTCCAGCTACCAGCTGGCATAGCTGCTTATGCAGTCTTTTCTCACCTGAACTCCTTGCTATGTGGCAGGCGATTTTATTAATCTCCAGTGCCAGGCATGTTGCAACATGAAGATGTGTACACAGCCTTGCTGTAACTGTTGCCATTTAGGCACATATACCTTGCTCCCCGCTCAAGTGATGCTGTTCCAGGCAGACAGGGCTCTGACTCTCCTACTTTCCAGCAGATGCATCCTCCAGAAACCTTCTCTCCCGGCACTGCAGTTGTTAGTGGCCCCTCAGTGGTTTCCCAGGGCAACAGATCTATTCTAGTCTAGGTTTAACCCCTTTTCTTCTTGAAAGGATGGAAGCGCATTCTGAGTGCTGGCAGGGAGGTGCAGAGGTGAAGTTGGGAGCAGGAGGGTGATCTGGGAGCCCATACGCTTTTTGTGACTTCACTGAGAGGATGAAACAGGCAATGGTTTTACTAATGACATGTTGCTTTTGTGTGATCTGCCCCCACCTCCAGGTCTCCCACCTCCTTACTTGGGTCTGTTACAGGTATCTAGATCTGTGTGGTCAATCTGTAACTCATGCATGTGTCAGGCACCTCTATTTTAATACCTACCTATATATGCAGGGAGTGTAGGTCTATGAAGTAGCTTTCATAGGTGCTTGCCTGGAAAGGGTGCTGGTTCTCCCCCACCCTACTACTTCTGGAAGAAGTGGCAAGTGTATTGTAGCCTGGATACTTTGCTGCCCACCTCAGATCAATGGAGGGCAGCGCAGCAAGTGATAATTTGCAGAAGCTTGTGCTGCTGCTTTCTTGAACACACACGACGCTTGTGAGTGGATTGTTGCCATCTGTGTTCTTGGGTCAGTCCAGCACAAAATGTTGATGCTACCACTGTGTTTTCTAGGCAAACCTGCCCTGCTGGCTAGAGTGTTTCTTGTTTACAGCCTTCAAGTGCCATGATTTTATTCTTTGAATACAACTAGCTTGTGTGAAAATACTGTCTTGCTCTATACGGTATATTGTATCCAGGCTGCTGCAGATGTTCAAACTCTTAGTGCTTGGGATTTGTCTTTTTTATACTGGCATGTTGGGTGCATTCTAGTTTGATTTGCTGTTCTGACCTAGGTGAACCTCTGGCAAAAGTCTTGTTTGGAGTGCTCCAAGTCCTTCAGACAGGAATGCAAGTGTATGCTATAGTGATTCACTAGGGTTACATTAGTACAAGTATGTGTGTTAGGTATTTGATTATACTGCTCTTAAATTTTATTTTGCACTTTCTGTATTAAATTGCTGAAGCTGAACATTTCATCCTTGTTTAGTGTAGTGTTAAGTAAAATTCATGCTGGAGCTGTCTTAATTAGGCAGCAGTTACTACATCTCAGTGAACTCAGTAAATAAGGATTCCCTTGACAATTTTTAGATTGAATTATGAAGGTATGCCTAGCCCATTTCTGAGTATTTTCAACAGTGCAGCATACTCATCGAGGCTGTTTAATGAAGGGAGAGGCCGACTGATACTGTGAAGTCAGAGACAGTGCCAAGCTTTTTCTGAATAGTTTAACTGCTTGGCTTTGACCCAGGCATCATGGCAATTAAGGTAATACTGATAGACAAGTGAGGCTGGAGCTGGGTGGCAAGTCACGTAGCGGTGTACACCTCTCAAAGGCAACCTGCTGCATTCACCATTCCTACACAGTGCGTGAACTAACGGTGGTACCTACAGCCATAGGATTACAGTGGGATTTGAATTTACGTATGAGAATCTGTTTCTGCCCTGTGAGTGAATCACGTCCATTGTGTCCATCACTTTCCACTTCAAGGCAGGGGAGATCTTTTCATGGTGTGTTGTGTTGGCTGCTTGTTCCAGGATCTGCCGGTCTCCCTGGCCACTCTGGCATGCCATAACTGACTGCTCATCTACGCCTTAGCTCACTGCCATGGAGCTTGCTTCGTACCACTTTCTTCACCGGACTTTTTACCTGCCTTTTCCAGCAGTAGGGAGAAGGAGTAGTACTGGGCAGTGGTGATCACAGAGTGGGATCCAGCTGTACCATAGTCCACAGCCAAGTTAGGACTCACCTTTGTTAACTGAAATAACTTCTAAACTCGTTCTTGTATTGGTTATTATGCGTCTGTTACGCAGTTGAATGTGTTAGGTTTTGTTCATACAATAAAGGTGTACAAGCTTCAGTCATTAGCAGCATCAAAGGTTTAGTTGATGATTTGTACATTTAAAGGTATTTGAAGTTCCTATATTTGGATGCTTTCTGATCTGAATATCATTATCTGTGTGATACTGGAAGTACCTTTTGTTGAACTTAAGGAGTTCTTTGTGTTACAGAAACCTTGTTTTTTGCTTGTCATGCACCATTTCATTTGCAGAGTTAAAAGAATTTGGCTTTAGATTTCTCAGGCCCATGCAGGATTTCTTTAGCCCAAATACTGAGCCTAATGTGAAGATTTAAAAGGAAGGAGAATGTTTCTTCTGAGGGTTTGATATTCAAGAGTTCACTTTCTTGTCTCATTCTGTGTCCTGGCACTGTAAGGCTGGGTGAGATCCCTCAACCTTGTTGCTATAAACCTATAATTCGCTTTAATAACTTCAGTCAAATCTTGGAAGAACCTTCCTCAGAGGAAAGAATGGAAATCTCCTGGGAAGCCCCAGGTGGAAACCCATGGTGCCTTGACTGCCCAGAACACCTAGATTGGAGTACTCTTGTTCTGATTTCCAGAGTGATCTTGATAATATCTCTCAAATATACATTCTAATCCTCTGGCATTGTCTTTCAGGTATAAAGATGATGTTGACAGTCCCACTGAGGAGAATGGGAAGCAGAAAGTCCTGTACAGCCTGGAGTTCACATTTGATGCGGATGCCCGTGTTGCCATCACAATCTACTGCCAGGCTACAGAAGAGTTTGTTGGTGGCATGGCAGTGTAAGTCCTGGGCTTGTGGGTGCGTGGAGGGGCACAGGACCTGTCAGGTGATGAGCCTGTCAGACATCTCTCATTAATCACCCCCAAGGGCAGTGCTGCCACAGATGGTGGAGAGGGAAATCTCTTCTTTTTCTGTTTTGTTTTATATATTCTGATAGTTTTGAACATTACTTTCACTTCCCTCCCCCACATAGCCAATATCCTCTCTTGTTCCCTTTTTGGTTTGTTTTTTGGGTGTGGGGAAGCCATTCTGTGTGCAACAAAGGAGAGGAACTCACAGCTGTATCCTTGGTCAGCAAGATGTTCTATGAAATGAAAAAAACAACCACCTCTCCCTTCAAATACTACCTGTTTTTTTCCAGATCACCTAACTCACTGAATTTCTGTGTTCCCTGTGACAGGAACATCTGGGCCACCAAAGTAAAGTTCAGTCTAACATTTACACAGCAAGTCTGTGGAATTGAGGCCCACCCAAGGCCCCTTTTGGGATAAATGACCACCTCAACAGGCTGTTGTGAGATGGTTATCAGGAGGATTTACTGCCTGAAACCCTGTCTGTGTGTTTCCTGCCAGGTACACATATTAGCCTTTGGCTCGCTGTAGAAAGAATGGTCAAAACGTCATCTGTGGAGTCTTTCTCATATCCTGGTAGTGCATCCCTACAGATTTCAAAACCTTTTTATCTAAATCGGCACGTTTAAACCATTCCAATCAACACTGTATCCCTAAGGCTATGAAAACTTTCCTCTCTGTATTAAGAGCTAAGGTGGCTGAAATGTGCTCTCCCTGGTGTGAATTGGGTACATGTGAGCTGCTGGTATGTTATGGCAGGCTTCCGATGGCCATGGGACAAAGAATTCTTTTTGTTCTATGGGTAAAGGAAGATTCAGGCTGCAGAAGCTCTTGGCTTCCTCTAGTAGAGGCTTTTGGCTAATCAGCGGCTCTGTGCACATATTGCTGACGGCTTCTGCAGTGGTGCTCTGGATTTGGGGGTAAATTTATGTTTTATTGCAGGGATCTGCAGAGGTTTCAGCAGGGAGAAATATGTATGACAAACCATAAAATGGCTTATGTGTTTTATTCAAAGTATAAACATCCCACTAATGATCAATGAATAGTGTATTTTTAGAAATGAGACAAGGTCAATGCTCGCATCCAGATGTGCATTTCTCCAAACTAGAAGATACTCTGATCCAGAATTTTTGTTTATGCCCCTTCTCTTCTTCTGTTGAAGTCTATGACTGCCTTTATTTTGGGGAGGTAATAAATTAGCTCCTTTTAAGTGCTTGAAAAATATCTCTTGGCAAACTCTGAAAACACTTTCTATTTAGATCAGTTTTTTTCTGAGCAGAGCTGAATGCAGCAGGATGCCTTAGAAGTCCTGATAAAGTTTCCATGTTCTGTTTCTTAGGTCCTTAGGTTTCCTGTGAATTTAGTGCTAGTGAAGGTGTTGGAATGGCAGCCTTGGAGATTGAAGTCCTCTTTTCCTAATACAGGTACAACATGGAGAGCTGGCCAGTGACCCCTGTGCTGCCCTGCAGTGTTCCTTGGTTTTTGACCTAAGAAGGAAACCATCTATGGGCTAATGGGGAGAACTGAGGGCCTCTATGGCCAGGGTGGATGTATTTACATTGCCAGACTTCAGCCATGGCTTAAATCACAAAGTCTTGTTTTAAATCTTGATTTTAATGTTGTTTTGCATATTTGCTTATTGGTTTACCTCAAAGGAGAATTTCTTTGTCACTGGTCAGTAACAATGAAATATCTGCCTTTACAACTCAGTGTAAGCTTCATATCAAACTTTGTGCTACATTTTACAAAGAGCTTAAGTCTGTCAAGAATATGCATATAGTTTAAATTTTTTTCAAGCTCCTAGTTTTGCATTTCATGACAAAATGGCAAAAAAGAAAGTTATTCTAAAAAGAAAAGATAATTTTTTTTTTTAACCTGTGTCTTGAACCAAGCTGTGTTGGGGTGGAAGTGCAACTCTATCACCTGACCAGCAGTGTAGCATTCTTTTTCGTTAAACTGCTCTATGTTGGACTATTAAGAGACTGTCTTGTCAAGTTGTGCCTTGAGTAATAATAATTGCTGCATGGACGTATTATAGTTATTGAATATAACTAACTGTTTCTGGACAGAGTGTGTTTTCAGTCTTCTGTGACTAGCAGCTCTCCTCTCAGAACTCGGTTGGTTGGTTGGAGGAGGAAAACACTGTTTCTGGTTCACTTAAGAACAAGTTTTACTGAAATTTAGCACCATGAACGAAGCCAGTGACTGTCACCAGTGCTGTTGTCTGTTCTTTAAAGCATATGCAGCAAACATGAACTACCTAATTGCTTTTTAAATTTAATTTGAACAATTCCTAGGTAGAGTTTCTGAAAGTTAACACAACTGTCAACTTCAAAGAAAAATATTTTTTTTAAAAATATGAATTTTTTAATCCACCCTGTCCATGGCTCACTGAGAAACGGATCTCTGTTCAGATGGCGGAGGAGAAGCCTTTGTTCATGAACCCTACCTGCCTCTGCACGAAACCAGGATCAGTAGTCAGCAGTCATTACCTCACTAACGAAATGTAGCTGACGATACTGTGCTGCCCTGCTAGGGTGACAGCAGTCCCCAGTGTGCTAAACCTTTACGTCAACAGTCAAAGCACTCAGATTCAGCTCTTGCTTCCACTGCTGGCCTTTCATTTAATAAATCATACTTTAATTTCCCCATAGCATAGGAGTGATGAACTGTCTGTCTCTGCTCTGGAGTTCTTGGACAATAAATGTTATATAAGCTTGGGGTGTGCGGGGCTGCACCAGAAGCCAGGGAACCTTTTGGAAGGCATGATCCTGATTTCATGCAGATGTGTAGGTAATAAGGGCTGGGGGAAGTGAGATACAATTATAGACTTTATAAGCTGCTTTAATTCAACCCAGGCTATTTTTCCATGTGGAAGTGGCTCATGAAGCACGTCTTGGGGCTAGTGCAGCTGCCTGAAGTAGGCATCTCTGCTTCTCTGGATTTGCTGGCTGCTAGTAAAAACCTTTTGAAGCTCTGATTTCAGCTTTGCAAAGCAATTCTGAAAGGGCAGTGCTATAATTACTTTGATTTATTCTTTTCAAATTCTAGTGGAAAAAAAAAATCTGGGCTGCATTCTTAGAGTTCTAAGTGGAGCGAGTGCATTTTTAGTGCAGTAATAGGAATGCAGCTTCTCCCTGCCTGGGCTGGTAGTTTTTCCTTTTTCTCAGTTTCTTTTGGTGCTAACAGCTACATTCAAGGAACAAGCATGTGCAAAAGCTGCACTGTGTATAAATTCAAAACTTTTTCTATTGCTGTGTCCAGTACTTGATTGGGAAGAAGATGCTCTTTAAAATAAAACACTTTTTTTTTCCACTCTCCTAAATTGATGCTAAATCCTAAAATGGGAGAAACTTTCTGGACCCTTGTCAAAAGCAGAAATTTTCTCCTAGTCCCCAGGCTGCAGCATGGCTCCTTAGAAGCGCTAAACAAGTTATTCTTGCTTCTCTGCTGAAACAACCACTGATCCTGATAGTATCAGTGCTCCTGCTCATGTGAAACTCCTGCTAGGAACATTGTTATGTTCATACAATTTGGGGTGAGAGGAGGGAGGGGAGGGAAGGTGGCTCTCCCTGAGCAGAGGCGTTGCTTGTTGTAGAGCCTCTGCTTATCTGAGAGCCACAACGCTCTGTGTGTCATGGGCCTGCCTTCAGGATTAGCTGGTCTCCATGACCAAAGGGAAGCCTTTCTCTCTGCAAGCCAGGAAGCTTCCTCCTGGAGTTGTTGGGCTCCATTTAAAAGCTGGTGGCTTTATCAGTATGTGCTGCCTGTCCTAACCCGTCTCAAAGGAGTGTTCAGCAGACTTTCCCAGGTAATCGTGCTGGGAGATATGCTCAGCTATACCGTTTCCCAGCCAAGATCTTGGGAACACGTAGCTCCCTACTGCTGCCTGCCTCTTGGCCTGAACTGTTGAACTTGGAGTTTCACAAGGAGCTGAATCATCACCACTGTGGGACTGCAGTCGACCAGTAAAGTCTGGAGAAGGTGAATGTGTGGCTGTTGGGGATGGTAGAGGTGTCTTCACCTCTGCAGCCCCGTGCCCACGGGAAGGTACCCAGCACTTTCTGGTGCTAGTGCAGATATCTGTAGAAGTCTCTTGGATGAAATGGGACTTAGTTTAAATCTAGAGGGGACTGCTGCTCTCACCTTCTGAATACCTTTTGCCTGGTTACTTTGTGGTGTACCTAAAGACTCTTTAAAGTAAAATGCATTAGTTCTCAGAGGACCAGCTGGTACATTATCCCAAGGGTAACAGAGACCAGATCTGCCTATGTCCAGAGTCTTTTTAATAGCATGGAATTAGTGGTGACCTGCCTCTGAACAGGTCAAGACCCTGATATCCTCAGTTTTATTTCTTTTTCTGGTTGCGTCCATTTTCTTTGGTTTTGGAAATTGGCAAACTGTTCCTCTGTGCTTCTTTTTCCTGGGGCAGTGTCCCCAAATGAGCTTTAGTACAGCGTCTTCCCTGAGGATCCACTCTCATCTGTGGTTAGTGGTGGGTGTGCTCCTCGGGAGTTGATCTGTGATCTGACTGGCTTGGAGAGAGTAGTATTTCTCAGTTTGTCATTTTCTTTGGCTTCAACTTCCCAGCAGCTGGGTAGAAAGCAGGGAAGACCGTGGTTGCGGAAACCATTGTAACAGCTTGAGTGCTCACCCGTGAGGACAAGCCTTGTATTGCTCAGTGTTGCTGAGGCACAGCAGTACCTGCCAGCTTCAAAAATGTCCTACAAACAAAGAGAAATTTGCTGTCAGAATCCGTGATGCTAACTGGGTTTTAAGACTAGCCAACTGGAGAGGCAGCTCCGTGCCTGTGGTAAAGGTGATCGCCATGTGCAGCAAGGAAGGGTTCAGCCATCTCAGCCAGAAGGTGAAGGGTGGCCAGGATGGGCCCTGTCTAAATGGCATGAGAATCTCTGCCTTAGCGTATA